CCGATACCAAAAGCCCCCCCCCTGTGCAGGCGTTAACAGCAGTTCCTCCCAACCCAGATCCTCCTACAAAGGATCCTCCTATTCCCAGTACTGGTGGTAGTAGTAGCACTAGTACTACTTGTAAGCAGCAAAAGACAGCCAACGCTGATACTGGTCCCCTGTCAGCCACGAAGAAGACCTCACCCTCCATAATTGAGTATGCAAGGACAATCCGTGACAATGCCAACGCATTCAACTCACTTGGAAGTGATGAATATCAAGAAGCAGAGGCAAGGACAAAGAAGTATGTAAAGACTATTAGGGGAACTCACAAAAAATTTGTCCAAATAGTCGCCGATGCAACAAACCCAGATAAGAATGATCCTGGTGATAAGCTTATGTATGAAATGTTCATGAGGAAGGTCCTAATKACAGATGGATTGACCGAGGACTACCTATTCTACAAACATGTGACTGGAAAGACTAATGCAGTAAGCAAGGAAATAATGGATAGAGCACTCAAGATATGGGCAAAGCACATTAAAAATACTAAGACCGGTACTCCCCTGGACACCAGCACTATGTCAGTAAGGATCCGGCAGCTCTTTGTTGCTCTTCATGAGAGAGATGTCCAGTTCAGATAAGGAGATTTCAAAGGAAAGGGGGGCTTTCTTGCCTTTATCAAACATGATTACAATGCTAAGCATGAAGCCAATCCTTTGGTTGGTACAAAGAGGACCAAGGCAGAATTTGATGAGTTTGTGGATGAAAAGTTTAAGAATGTGTTAACTAATGGTACCTACAAGCCGTATGTCAATATGCAGGACTTGGTATAGCTTCTAGCAATAGAGCTTGGTAGACAGTTTGGAATCAGAGGAGGGACTGAGCTTGCCGGTCTCATGTGGTCACACGTGAGAATGGGAACCTTTAGACACGGAAGCATGCAAGGATTGAAGTATGTGATTATAGCTCCTGGAGGBGGCTTTGATAAGTCTCACCAGTTGTCTCTTAATAATCCAACTGTAACAAAGCAGTTCCCGTCTGTCGTGGAGGACCCTGAAAACSCCAACTGTGTAGTAAAGCTTGTCCACTTCTATCGAGTGAGATGTGATCCAAAGCAAGGTCGGTTCCTTTGTCACCCTAACTTGAAGAGGAAGAAGAATAATCCATACTTCTTCAAAGGGAATGCCCCTGTAGGGAAAGGATCCATAAGACAATGGGTGAAAGAGTTTGCTGAGGTTGCTGATTTCAAGGATTGGGAGAAGTACACACCACACAACAATCAACATTGATGCTGCACTATTCTTGCCTCTGATCTTGCCATTCCTGAGAAGATGAGGATGAATCATCTCAGACACAAGAGCAATAAGTCTGCTGAGCCTTAYATTCATCAGAATTCAGTTATCMAAAAGGCTGTTCAAGGCGTGCTTCATGCTGGGCTACATGGAAACAAAAAAGGCCCACCAGCAGCCGCAGCAGGTCCGGAAAGCAAGAAAAGCAAAGAATCCCCATTAGTACTAGCTTTGCCTCCTCCTATTCCGGATGATTCCAGCAGCACCAGTACTGCTACTGTAGTAGTTGAAGAAGAACAAAGAAGCGAGTATGCAACTTCAGCTGTAACACCGACAAAAAGCATTCTTAGGAAATGCCTTTCCAATGCAAGGAAGGAAGCTGCRAAAAGAAAGGAAGAATCGGAAGAGTTTGAGCAGGCAGCAAAGAGGATCYGTTGTCAACTGGAGGAATCCCAAAAGACCATCACTGAGCTTACCGGCAAGCTTTCAATTCTCACAGATGATTTACAACAGAGGGAGCTGTCACTGAAAATCCAGGAGGCAAAAGAAGAGTACAACCAAAAGGAGCTTACTTGGGAGAAAGGCAAAAGAGCCCAGCTCRAAAATGAACTGAAGATGTCTCAGCGCTTGAAAGAGATTGAAGAGGCCCGGCGTGGGGGCCCAAATCACTGTTTGATTATGTGAAGAAACTGCTGCAATTTCTGGTCTATTTTTCGAGGATGTAGCAGTATTTTAGTAACCAATATAATGAAAACCAGACTTAAAGTATCATCAGTCCAGTTCTTGCTACAGCCGACACGATCTTTGGTGACATCTTAGCTCGTCCTTGTGGTGCGTTCTTGCTTGTTCTTGTTGCCAGCAGAGGTGATTACATGCTAAAATCCAGGAAACTGGTCGATTACGTAAATAATCGGCCACTTGCTGGCGGCATACGTCAGCAATCAGTGCTGAGACTGAGTCCAACAAGGTCTCAAGCTCTGCTCTCGACCTTGTTGGACTCAGTCTCAGCACTGATTGCTGAAGTAGTCTAACTTCAGCCTCAGCCTCGGCCTTGAGCTCCGCTCTCATCCTCATCCTCGGCCTCAGTTAGATTACTTGGTGTATAGCGCTCGACCGCACATAATTTTCTCCTTAAGGAAGGTTTTTCAGCGTACGGATCAGAATACATATGGATTACACGTACGCAGCCAGCAGGTGGCCAATTATATTACATATGATATGTGGTGTCGCACGGTCCGCACGTGTACGAAAAATGTAACCAGAAATGTACTTTGTTGAGGTCCGTGTTACTGTATTTTTGTGCAAGCACAGTACACAACTCGTCTTCCATCACAAATAGTAAGACAAACCTCAACAAAGTACATTTCTGGTTACATTTTTGGTACACCACCAGTACTAACATCACTGAGGTTGAGATCTTTAGCTTGAGACCAAAGTGAGGTTATTGCAAGTATCTTTGACATCAAGCTTGAAAGCTTTAGCCTCATCGAGAGCTTGGTGTTGAAGAGTTACTAGTGTACTAGTACTACTGGTGGTGCTACTACTTGGTGGCGGTGCATGGGAGCTATGCAATGCCACAGTTATTTACGTACTAATCAATTGAGTAGCAGCAAAATTACATGTATCCATGCGCACTTGTAGCAGCAGTGATCTCATATGGAGGACACTTGCTGATAAGAGTCACTCCTGATATGAGTCGCTGATAGTACTACGAAGGATGCTTGCTGCTGATACAGTGTCTGCTGATAAGGCATCTACTGATACAGGGGGGGAGGCTTGCTGATACCATACAAGTTGCTGATACAGAGGACGCTTGCTGATACAATACAAGAAGTCATCACTGATACCGAGGAGCTGCTGATACAAAGGATGCTGATACTACGAGGAGTCACTAAAATGGAGGAGCCGTTGATATGGTAGTAAGGATGAGCTTTTGATACAAGACAACTTACTGACAAAGAGGATAGTACCTACTGTATTTTCTACATGACTTTGTACTTAGTTCCCAGTAATTTTCTTTTTTGTCCTCAAGCTAAAGCTCCCGCGCTTTTTGGTGTTGAATATCGTATAGCAGTGGCCAGCTAATGTACGGTCCCAGTTGTATATTACGGACTATCTTTTTGCACATGCTCTGCTCAGTACTTGTACCATACGTACTAGTGGTACAGCTCAGTCTTGCAACCAAATAATTTTGAATCCCACATCCGTGCAACCAAATAGTTTTTCAAACAGTTTCCCTCACACGTGCACGCTGTAGCCCTGGTACAAGTCAAATTGTAATCCCAAGAGTCATTACACGGTAATTAGATGGCCCAAAATCAACGCACAGTACAAAAAACACATAGGGCATTAAGAGAGGTTCAACTCACTCAAACAGCTATAACTCTTTCCCCAATGGACGCTTAAGTATGGAAAGCACATGGTTAAAAAGAGAATTCAAAGAGCTTTTGAATGCGGTGGGGGAGTACGGTGTCCGATAAATATTGATTGATATTCATGTATGTATATTGAGCATTCCTAATATACAACTGATGCGTCTTTTTTTGCTTGACCCACGCTATTTGATAGTACTTCTTGCAGTAATATCACTTCAGTGTCAAGCTAAAGCTCTCAACCTTGGTGATATTACTGGTGTACCAAAAATTTAACCAGAAAATGTACTCTGTTGAGGTCTGTGTTATTATCATGGGCAAAGTTTTGTATTGCACAGTGTTCTGGGCAATCACCTGCTGTCAGTAATCCATTTGCAATTGCAAAAGGTGGTGGCTTGCCATACTGATAGTTTGGGCTTAGCATAAGTCCTAGTGAGGAAAATATGATGCTGAGAAAAAAGATAGTATCTTTTGCATTGTAACACAAGCCATGCTTGCTGTGGTGTTTGTAGTAATATCAGTGGTAGGAACAATTTTAGTACCATTAAGTGGACAAGCACCAAGGTTCTCAGTATTGTTGTTGTAGCTTGGAAGTTGTTGCCTTGATAGGAATGTTTTCTTGCCACAAAGTTAATTGTACAACAAAGGTTATGTTTCTCTGTGCAACTGCTTGGCCACATTGGGATACAAACAGGTGTGCTTGGTTTGACAGTAAGATTGGTATTTTGCTGTTCATTAAGAAGAAACTAGTTCACTGCAGAACCGCCCTGTAGGTACTCTTGTGACCAAGCCTATAAAGAACATGAATGGAGATGTGCACAGGAAGATGCTCCTTGATAAGGGTCTGCCTGCAATCTACAAAAAGTGGCCACAAGGAGCAACTGGCAACAACAGTCAAGGTTGTCTTGAGTTTATTATCCAAGAAGACAACACTAAACCCCACAAGCCAAGTATTAGGATTCCAGTTGCAGCTGATACAACAAGCAAAGGTTGGAATAGTTGGAATATTCTGTTATGACTCAACCACCAAGAAACAGTCTAGATCTGAATGTACTTGACCTTGGATTCTTCACTTCAATTCAAAGTTTGCAGCAGTACAAGAAAAGGTGGAAGGATATTGACCATTTGATCACCAATGTCGAGAAACTTTTGATGGATACAAGCAGAAGACATTGAATAATGTATTTTTGTTTTATCAGGCTTGTATGGAAGATTTGCTTGGTGTTTGGGGCAACAACAATCACAAGCTTCCCCATATGGGAAAAGAAAGCCTAATGCGTCAAGGTACCCTCCCAATTTTGATTATATGCAATTGTAGCCACATCATAGCAGGGCAGCAACTGCTTGGTATTGCTGCTGCTGAGGAACCTCAGAGCACCAAAGCATGGTGGTGATAGGAGCAAATTAGAGTTATGATCATAGTAGTAGTAGTAAGAACGTTTCTAAATGTAAATGAATAAGTTTCTGTACTAAATAAACCATATGTAGGCCCAACACCAAGGAGGACAATCTTTCAGGACCAGCAAAATAGGGTCACAATGACACTCATAGTGGACTAGAGGAAGTATCTCATCTTTACTACTATGCCAGTTTTCTTGCTCCTCCAGGAGTGCTTTCCACCACAGCAACTACTAGTACTAGAAGAAGCAACCTTCTCCCAGCAAGAAAAAGTAACTGTACTAGCTCCCCTAGCTAGTACCTCTGCTGGTCCACAATCTTAGATATTTGTGAGTTTTTCTAATGTACTGTGTGATATTAACATCAAACAATGATTGTAGTATTTTTTGGCTAGTCTTGTGTTTTTTTTCACTTCTGTTTTTTTTTAATCAATACTGCTACTAGCACTCAAATTTTGATTCTTTTGGAACCAGTCATTTGACGCAGCTCAAAAGTAATAAAACTTGTGATAGATTTAATAATTTTTTGGTCAGTCAGTCTATCAAAAGTAGCACATAGTATAAATAGATTCCAAATTCCAAGAAAGACTCAGATCAAACCAGCGCCATTTAGCAATTCCATAATAACTGGAATGACCCACTAATTTCACCTCCAGGATTTTGTCCACTTCAGAAACTCTCTTCCAGTGAAAAATACCACTACTACTGGTAGTACTAGTAGTACTACTAGCTAGTGGTAAGAGTAGTACTAGCAAACTGTTCAACTTCAAATAGTGTGAACTTGGTCAAAATTTTCAATCATTGATTATTGTCTCTCTTGCACTTACATAAACCACTAGGTGTTCATGAGGATTCTGAATATGACAATAGTATTACTATTACTACCATTACTGCTAGTAGTATTGCTACTACTAGTAGTATTACTACTACTGCTGGTAGCAGAGTAGTTACTATTATCATGATTAAGCAAGGATAAATTCTTGGTTCTTCCTTGTCTTCTTACTGGTACTGGTGTTGTTCTAAGGAGGCTGTGGAACAATTGGAGTTGTATAAGAAAGAGAGGAAAATATCTGGCAATCGACACTACTCAGTTGTTGCTGAGCATGGAGCCTGGTGAATCCAACAATATATGAGTACAAAGAGTCTGAGTCTGAGTCTGAGTCTGAGTATGAGT